CCGGATCTCGGGGGGTAGTTCGTTCCAGAGGGTGGGGGCACCCACAGAGAAGGCCCTCCCCCTGGGGGTCGCCAGCCGACATTGCTTGGCCGACGGCACCCTGAGGAGGCCCGCTCTGTGGGAGCGTACCGGCCTGTGGGAGGGAATCTGCGGCAGAAGGCGGTCTCGGAGATAGCCAGGACCGATGCCATGGAGCGCTATTCTATTCTATTCTATTCTATTCTATTCTATTCTATTCTATTCTATTCTAGTCTAGTCTAGTCTAGTCTAGTCTAGTCTAGTCATCTAGTCTAGTCTAGTCTTTATATCCTTCCCATCTCACACTGCAAAGTGATGGTGGATCGCTATTATATATATATATATATATATATTTGTATCTCAAATAACATTTTACTCCATCAATTACTATGTTATTTGCTTGTTCTACATTTTCCCTAGGATACTCAAGCAATACAGGTCTTGATTAGGGCAGATAAAATGATTGCCTTGTTGAAATTTGCACTATTCAGAGTGCTATTTTTGTGGAAATTATGGTGATTGATTCTAGCTTGATGGAAACCGCTTGAATAGAACAAGCTTGAGAGGTTAAGATTGATCAAGAACAGGCTGCTGATCAAGAACCAAGCAGAGATTTAGACCTGATCCTTCCAGTTCTTCTGGAGATCAAAAATGAAACGGCGGAAGTATTCCAAATGTTTTATTTTCGAGGCAGAAATAGGAAATACTTGAGCCAATGAGAATTTGGCTCAAAAACGGCCCTCTTACTTCAGTTCCTTCATCTTCCCTTCCCTTCACCTAGGAAATGAGACAGGTGAGGCGTTCCTTTCATCACCTGGAAGACCAGGAGGGTCTCTATTGCTCAGCTCACCTGTAGCACTTCCTCCTTGCTTTGCAGACACCTGGTCAGTTGAAGGATCAGCTGCTCCTGGTGATCCATGGCCTTCTCAAGTGGAAAACCGGCTGCCTGTGCCACAGAGAGTGGGGTGGACGATAAAGGAAAATATGCCAGCCTTGAGAGATAGTCCAGGCAAGAAGCATAGCCAGAATTATTAACTTTGTCTTTAATGCAAAGTTACACTAACAGAATCTTCCATGTCTGAAAGTACAGGGAGCCTTTGACTTACAATCGTTCATTTAGCGACCCCTTGAAGTTACAACCGTGACTTATGACCAGTTCACACTTACGACCAGTTACACGAATCACTGCACTTGTTAAGTTAGTGACACGGTTGTTAAGTGAATCTGGCTTCCCCATTGACTTTGCTTATCAGAAGGTCGCAAAAGGGGATCACATGATTCCGGGGACGCTGCAACCATCCTAAATACGAGCCGGTTAGCCAAGC